CACGGCACGGCCCGTCCTCCCGACTAGGCCGTGCTCACCGGCGCTGCCCGCAGGTCTCTTCCGCGGCCCCGACCGGTGCTGCCGGGAGCACGACCGGTGCTCGGCGCAGATCGCGGCGCTGCAGTTCAACTACGGCATCCGCAACTACCGCCTGCACACCGTCTCGCACTGCGACTGCGACGCCAGGTGGGCCGGGGGACCGGGACCGGGGGGGGAGGGACGGACACACAGGGGCCGGGGGACCGGGGCCGGGACTATGGACATGCATGCACCGGGGTGCTGCGGGGCTGCTCACCGTCCCCATCCACCCTGCAGGTTCCGGCAGTGCCTGCTGGCCCTCAACGACACCATCTCCAACATCATCGGCGTCACCTTCTTCAACTTGCTGGAGGTGCCATGCTTCGTGCTGGAGGAGAGCGAGGAGTGTGTCCAGTGGCACTGGTGGGGAGGGTGAGCGCCCCGGGGGGATGCCCCCACCTTGGCCCGCTGCTGCAGCCCCGCGGCTGGGCGCGTTTGCTGCTGCGGCCATGAGCGTGCCCTGCCTGGCTGCCCCATGGGCTGCGGGGGGGGGCACAGCTTGGCCATGGCAGGGCTAGCGTGCGGGGCCTCATGGCACGTGGTGTCCCCAGGTGTGAGCGTTATGGTGTAGTACCCCTGGCCAGGATGGTGCAGCAGAGTCAGTACCACTACAGCCTGCCCGCAGAGGAGACTCACAGCCCTGCTGTGCAGCCCTCGGGCAAGGGAAGGAAACCCTCTAGAGCAGGGCGCAAGCGGCTCCGCCAGGGACTGGGGCGAAACCCCGGGCTCCGCCAGGCACAGAGACCTCCAACAGCCCAGTGGTCGCAGGGCCCAGGTACCTTGTCCTCTGCGTCAGCCAGGGACAAGGCCGAGCCCACAACCAGGCACCCAGCAGCGCAGTGGGGGCTGGAGCCCGGCCCCCCAACAGCAATGACCGTGTTGGAACAGGACCTTGCTGGAGGAAGGCGACTGCCAGAAGGAGCACAGGAAGGGGCTGGGGGCTCAGCACACCCTGCCTGCACTGAAGATGGCACCATTGGATCCAGCCCGGCTGTGGAGCAGTGCGGAGCCACCCCGGCGCCTGCTGTGGAGGGGCGCAGGCAGCAGGGTGAGTGGGTGCTGGGGGCAGAGCGTGTGCTGCAGCTGGGGTGTCCCGAGGCCTCAGCCCATTGGCGTCCTGTGCTGGGGCTGCCCCTCACCACCCTGCTGTCCTCAGGCCTGGGCAGGGTGTGCAGGTGCTACAAGCACCTGGATAAGTGCGAGCACCAGATCGCACCCCGAGAGGTGAAGTACGAGCTGCACAACGTGGACACCCGGATGCTCTTCCACTGTAACTGCACTCGCAGGTGCGTGACCAGGAGGAAAATGCAAGGCTTTTCCCACCATCACAGGGCACTGTGTGCAGATGGTATGGGGCCAGGTGAGGTGGGACCCAGAGGGATGCCTACCTTGGCCAGCAGCTGCTGACTGCTGCCCTCCTGTGCCCACAGGCTGGCGCGGTTCCTGCGCAGGGCGAGGGACCTCGGTGACGTGGAGGTGGCTGTCCTGGCTGATCGCATCGCCATGGACTGCTTTGTTCTGGAGCCACCTGCTGACTGCAGCCTGGGTGAGGGGTCACAGCACAAGTAAGTGCAGAAGGTCGAGGGAATGTGGCCTGCGTGGGGCTTCCTACCCTGCATGGGCAGGAGGGATGACCTGGCGGGGCTGGGTGCTGTCCTGCAGGCTTGGCATGAAGCTGGCTTTGCAAGCATTATCCCCTGCTCTGCTGTGCCATGAGCAGGTCTGGGCTGGAAGACAACAGATGTCAGCCCTGCAGTGTTACACTGATGCTCACAGCTTTGCTTCTCCAGCAGCTGTATCACAGCAACCCGGGCTGTGCTAGTACCTGCATGGCATCTCAAAAAGACCCTGAGGCGCTGGGGTCCTCCGCATGTGACCTCCAAGGCCGAGCATCCATATTGGAAGACACAGGACAGTGGTGGCACCCTCTATGAGCAATGCCTGCGGCTGGCCTTGGAGCAGAAGCTGGGTGCTCAGCCCCATGCGGTGCCCTGATGATGCCTGAGAAGCACTGCCTTGTGTGGGGAGGAAGACTTGCTGTGCAGCAGCCATGGCGTGGAGCTGCTTGATTTCTGGTCCTTGAGACAAAGGATGGCACTGAGCATGGCTGCTGGCATGACTGCATGAAGCTGGTGGGCCACAGCTGGAGCAGGGGCAGGCAGAGGGACTGAGAAGCCTCTGAAGGAGCTGCGGCTGCCATCTGTGAGCATCAAAGCAAGGGGAAAGGAATAGGAGGCCTTGGGAAAGGGGAAACCCACCATTTTCCTTCCCTGTTGTGCCCTGGGGCAGGGGGGAATGCTCTGGGCATTGGATCCCCCAGGCTGGGGGGATAGCAGGGCCCTCCACTCCTGGATTTGTGTCCCTTTAAGTGGGGAGACTGAGCTGTGTGGTGTGACCCTGGCCCCCTTCCGTAGGCAAGGTGGGAGGTGGGCAGGGGCTGGTGCTGGCTCCCAGCCCTGGAGCAAGGCGGGGGGGGGGGGCAGCTGCTAGGAGCAGGCTCAGGGCCCTGCCCTCAGGAGGGGTCAGTCCCTGGTTGCAGCTGAAGATAAATAAAGGGTGGTCTGTGCATGGTGTTCACACTGTAGCCCCTACCCCAGGGGCCGATCCTGCCCCCCTGCAGTAAGCACAGTGCAGCTGGGGTGGGCAGGATGGTTTATTTTGTCGCTTGCACTACGTACGTCCAAGGCTGAGGCACGGTGGTAGCAGCAGGGAAGGAGCAAGCTTCAGTCTCAGGGGTACCCTGGGGTGGTCCTCGCTTTATGCCCAACGCGATTGCTGCCAGAGCCCTGCCCTGGCCTCCTGTCCCACCTCAGGTGCAAGGCCAACACTCCACCCATAGGAGTGAAGGGTCTTGCACTTAATTTCACAAGGGGCTCCCCCACCACACTAGACCAGCCTTGCCCTCCCCTGTGCCCCCCCTCCCAGCCCTACCAGGCCCAGGACAGCAGCTCAGGCTGGAGGGAGCAAGGAGAGGCCCCTACCTGCCAGCACACAAGGTGGGGTGAGGAGTCACTGCAATAAATAAGGGAGAGAGGTGTCTCAGCAGGAAAGTGGCAGAGGAAAGCACACAGCAAGCGCGCTAGGGGGAGGAGGGAGGGGGCCACTGCATCAGCGGCCCATGGCACAGCTATGGCTGTCCAGCTCCTGGGGGCTGCTCCCCTCCTTTGGGGAGGTGCTGCAGCCCGGGGGGCTGGTGGGGCTCATCCTCCGGCAGGGGTAGCCCTGGTCCGTGCTCTCCCTCCGCCGGCCCATGGCCTGGTCGATCATCTCCAGGCGGAGCGCAGGCAGCAGACCCAGGTTCCTGGGGTCGGCCCTGGCCAGGGGGTTGTCAGCAGAGACACGCCGGGGGCCGCCCTGCTCCCGCACAGTCTGGTAGAAGGAGCTGCCCTCCTGGCTGTCGACTGCCCGCCCTGGCTCCTTGGCTTTAGCTCCATGGCGCCCCAGCTCCTCCTGGGGCAGGTGGATGGTGGGGATGTCCCCAGGGAGGCCATGGCGGCTCTGGGGTGAGGGGCTGCGGCTCATACCCCTTTCCCGGCTTGACGGCCGCAGGATGAGGCCCTGGAACTTGGCCAGGCTGGGGCTTCGGCTCCGGTGCCGTTTCATCTTGCCTGGGCTGGGGCTACGGGATTTGGGGGCCAACAGGACAAGTGTGCTGTCATCCTCCTCTTCTGAGCTGCTGCCCGAGCTGTCTGTGGGGCTGCTGCCCTCCTCTGACCTGGGCAGGGAGATCTGTACCCCTGCATCAGCACTGCTGGCTGATCCTCACAGGGGGCTGTGGGGCACCACAGCAGCTGGCTTCCTCCAGCCCATCACCCCTACATGCATCCCCCCTGCCTCCCTCAGCCCCTCACCCTTGCCTCTTGGCTGTGCTGACCTGGAAGGGCTCAGTCACACCAGCGATGCTGCTGGAGGTGTTGCTGTAGTATCCGAGGATGTACTCGCCCTTCCCCTTGGGCAGTGCCTCCTCTGAGAACAGCACCTGCAGCCCAGAGACAGCTGATGGGCACCAGGGCTGGGCACAGAGGTGCCCTCTCCCACCTCCAGCCCCATAGAGAGCTCCAGCCCCAGCTGAGAGCAAAAATCCTTGATGCCAGCACAGTGGATCTGCACAAAGCAATAAGGAGGTGCCCTCTTGCCCCATCAGGGACAAAGGGACCATTGTCCCCCCATGATGGGGCACACATGCCCAGCAAGACAGCACAGCCGGCTCCAGCTCACCTGTGCACATAGTTGCTTGTCTAGGCAGCGTTCTCCATCATCACTCCTGGCCCAGACATAGGACACATAGTCTTTAGGATGCCGAAAGCCCACCTGTGTGCATGTACATGGGAGAACACAGGTGAGTGGGGGAACATCAGCCCTACTCAGCACCATCACCTACACCCAGCCTTAACTTCCGTCTCACTCAGCTCCCTCTCCTTGCACCAAGGGCTGCCTTGCACACTACCCAGCAGTGCCCTGGACCCCAGCCCCCGAGGAGTTGGGGGCTTTGGACCCCATGGGGCCCACAGAGCAGGAAGAAGAGGGAACTGCTGGATTTGAGCCTCCTGAAGCAGGGCCAAATCCTGCTGCTAACTGCCAGGGCTTCCCAGGGGAAGGGAGAGCACAGGTCCATGCCATGCACCCACGTCCACTGATGGGAGGTAGCTCAGAAGGAACCCCAAGGTGCTATGCATTGTTCCCCACTCCCTCCAGCCCCAGCAGCCCCCAAGCCCCTACCCGGTAGAGTCCTATCCAGTCCCAGGAGCTCCGGTGGAAGCCAGCCGACATCTTGTACCTGACAACTGCTTGCTCAGGCCTGCTCCATTCATCAGCCACATAAATCTCAACCGGGGGCTTGTCTGCCTTGGAAGCAAACTGTCAGACACACATACATGGTGAGCAAGGGCATGCCAAAGACAGCTGCCCCTGCTGCCCAGGGCACCCATCTAGGGCCAGGCCCTCGTGCATAACACCAACAGCAGCCCCCAGCCACAGCGGCAAGACAGCTGAGCGTGCCAAACAAAAATAAAACAAGCCCTACACACCCCATCATACACTGCACATGCTGGGCATCTCACCCCTGTAGCTCCTGCCTGTGTGCCCAGTGGCCCTGGACAGTGCTTACCTGCACTGCAAAGATGGCAGCTACCGGCTTGTGGTCACTGACAGTGTACTCCATGTGGCTGCAGTAGCAGAGCTGGCTCACCGACAGGACGCCCCGACTGGGCCGGCGCCCACCTGCACCAAGCCCAACACTGGGAGATTTGATCTTCCAGAGGATCCGGTCAGTCCAGGCAGGTTTTCGCTTCTTGGCACTGCGGGGCACAGAGGGGCATCTCTTGCCTGGCAGGGGGCAGTGGGCTCCACCCCAAACTGCCTCCCCCTGGCACTACGGCACGCGCGGGCAGGGGATGCGGCTCGTCTTGGCACACAGCTCAGTGCAGCTGCAGGGACAGACCTGCACTGGCACCAGTGCAACAGTTGTGTCCCAGCCTGCCATCCCCAGTCCAGCCCATGCCCACCCCAGAATAGCTGCCCCCGTCCATCTGCACTGGCATCTGCCCCTGCCCCGCCAGCACCCACCTTGACTCTGAGCTCCACCACTCCTGCATCCCTCAGCCATGTCACCTGCTCCCAGGCCCAGCAATACGCTTGAGCTCTGCTCTCCTACCTGCTGTCATACTTGTTGGTGCCCACATCAAACTTGAAGGTGGGTGGGAAGTTCAGTGGTCCCTCCTGAAAGCCGCTGAGGACAGGCCAGGTGCTCTTGGCAATGTTCAGCTGTTGGAAAGAGAGCAGGTCAGGGAGCACACCAGCCTCCATGGCCAGACCCCTCTGCAAGCCCCTGAGACCACTCCATCCCCAGCACACTGTCATCCCTGCCCCATTGCTGCCAGCCCCGTCAGGGTTTGTCCATGCCATGCAAGCAGCAAGTCCATAGACCCAATGCCCCCAGCTCTTCCTAGCACACTGGTAAAGGGAGCACGTGCCCACCTCCCATAGAGACCATCCTGGGACTGTGCCACCCCTTCCCCACAGGGCCAGAAGAGCCAGGGCTCTTTGTACCCCATGGGAAGCGAGGGGACGTGCCCTGTCCCACAGCTGCGTGGGCAGTTTTGGCAAGAGCCGAACACCACTCAGGGCCCAGCCAAGGCTCAGCAGCACACCCATCCATCCCACCTGGTCCTTCTCCCAGAGCTGGCTCAGGATGTTGCTGTCGATGGCGTACTTCACAAAGCGGATATCGAGGCTCTCGATGCGGAAGTTGAGGTCCCCAAACCAGAACACAAGGCTGTGGGGGGGAGGGAGGGCAACAGGCTGGAAGGGCTGGGCAGCACCACAGGAGGAAAACGGCCTCAGCCTGTGGGCAGCCTCAGCCTCCAGGACAGGTGCTCTTGGGAGCACCAGTGCAGGTCAGCACTCAGCCAACAGCTCGGCTGGCTGCCAGCCCTGCCAGGATTCCTCAGGTAGGACCAAGCACCATTAACCAAATGGGCCTGACCTCCCTGGGCAGAAATGGAGGGTGGAAATTTCCACTGTGAGGCACCTACCAGAGTCAGACCACACAGCCAAGACACTGGGGCAGAGCTGGGCCCTGAACCTCACCAGTCCCAAACCCCAACAGCACCAACATGGCAGGAGCTGCACCAGACCTGGATGTGCCCCAGGGGAAACCAAGGACCCCTCTTAACACCTACCCCACCATGCTGGGTCCCTACTGGGCCATGGGACAATTTTGCAGCTCTGCAGGCAAGACCCCATCTCCAAGCTGTGCTGGGATTCAGGGGACAGACCCCAGACCCTACCTGGAGGGAGTCAAGGATGGGGGCTGGCACACTAGAGCCCTGGCCCAGATTGGGGAGCAAAGTGGTGGGGTACGCACTCATGGTCCAGGATGCCGCTGGCTGCACGCCCCTCAAACTGCTGCATGTGCAGTATAGTGGCAAAGTCCTCCTTGCGCTGCTCCGCCTTCTCCAGGTGCGCTGGCAGGTGGCAGTTCAGGAAGCAGACCATGTGGCCGAAGATGGAGAGACGAACACTCACCCCACCCTTGTTGCCCTGCACCGAGAGGATCCCATGACTCCTTGGGAAGCCAGGCCCTTGCCACCTCCCCAGGGACCACACTCACCCAGTAGCCTCCCAGTCCCGTCCTCGTGCAGTCTGTCTGGATGTCCTGCAGGAAGGGGAGGTGGTAGTACTTGGCAAACACCAGTAGGATCACACCTTGCATCCGCACCGTGCTGATCTGGAATGGGAGCAGGGGCTGAAGCAGGATGGTAGCCACAACAGAACTTGTAGGGGCAGGGACAGCTTCCCCCACCTCCAGGCCATAGGGGCAGCACCTCCATCCTTTGCATGCCCCCCCATCTTGCAGATGGCTAACAGTACATTTAGTTCAGAGATCTATCCACACCCTCCTGAATACTGACAGCTGAGATAAGCCCAGCAATGCTAAGGCTCATGTATGCTCTGGGGCAAGCACCCTGGAGAGCTGAACCTGCCCTGGGACCCACAGGCTGCTGCCAGAAGCACAGGCTTGTTCCCACATTCACCTCCTCACCCTGGTGCAATGCAGCAGGCAACAAGAAGCATCCCCAAAGCACCACAGGGGAAGCCTAAGGCACAGGAAAGGGAGCAGGGTGGCACAAGCTAAACAGCACACTGGTGAGATGTACCACTAGCCCTCAGGTTAGCCCACACACACTGCTTGGATGGCTGCAGGCTGTCCCTCCAGCTGTCTGATCCTCCAGCCAGCTCTCCTACTGCACCTCTTCCCTCCGTCCCTGCAGTCCAACTCTCCCTCCCCATGGTCCACCTGCCTGGCAGGCAGAGAGGAAACACCAGCTGCCCAGCCCCTTTGGGACTGGGACCTCCTTACCAGGACAAAGTGGAAGGGGCTCAGCACATCCATGAAGAGCTCGCTCCACTGATCTGTGAAGAGGGCATCCTTCAGGCGCTTGTTTATCTTAGAATTCACCTCTTGCAGCCTGGGAGGAAAGGGACAGCTCCCTCAGCCATACCAGGAAGGTGTCTGTGTCCCAGGTAGCGAGAGCTCCTTGGGAGAGGTGCCAGAGCACAGTGCTGGGGAGAAGGGCCAGGGCAGGAAGGGCAGATCAAGGGAGGACCCTGGGTTTAGAGCACAAACCAGCCATATCCTTTCTCCAGCGATGCTGGGCCATGTGCTAGCAGAATGCACAAGTGGCCCTGAATCCACAAGGCCTTGGCCCTTTTTAAAGCACGAGCAATTCAGCTGCACAGGGCTGGGCAGCAGTCTAAAGCCTGTCTCTAGGTACAAGAGGGGCCTACGGGACATTTCAGCTGCACTGGTCTCTAGAGAGAAGCCAAGTCTCACTGGTACTTCAGCACAGGGTGTCCAGATGCATCCTAGCCACCAAGCTGAGAGCAGCAGCAAACAGAAGGTTAATAGTGCTCCTCCCAGCTCAGCAATTAGTGAAAAGCGGGAAGGAGAACATCCCCAGAGAACAGCAGAATCAGGAAACATCTTGCCCAAAAATATCAAGTGCTCGGGGCACAAAGAACGGGTCAGAGGAAGGACGCAGCCATGCAGAGACATCCTGGAGGTGGGGAGCAGCAGGACGCCTTGCCCCGACCAGGACACAGTCCCAGCAAGTCCCTTGCTGTCAGCTACACTCCCTACCCCATCCATCCAGGCTCGGGTCTACCTCCACAGCCCCCATCCCACCGGTCCACAAGGCCGAGGGGACCAGGAGACGGGCTCCAACACAGCATCGTAGCTCTGGCAGCCTCAGCCTTATGCTGCTCTCTGCCCGGGGCAAGGAGCACTGGGGGAGTCCCTGGGAGCCTCCTGGAGGCAGATCCAGCTCTTCCACCTCATGCCCACAGGCAGAGCCTGCTTCTTGCTCCCTGTGCAAAGGCAGTATGTCCCTGGTCTTAGCAGGAATCCACACACACCACAGCAAACCTTGAGGGACCAGTTTGCCCTTAGACTCTGGCAGAGCTTGCCTCGCCAGCCACACCAATAAATCCTTACCACATTGACGTGGCGCTGCCTTGCCAGCAGTTAAGTGTTGCCCAGGGGCACAGAGCCAATCCAGCTGTGAGAGAACAGCAGATTCGTGCCCTTGAGGCCTGCATACCATGGGCAGAAGCTGAGATGAGGAAAATGCTCCCAGAGGACTCCAGCAGGCGAGTTAAATGCCTCTACAGACCTGACCCCAGGACTGCCAGGGCTCATAGCAAGAGCAGCACTCGCCAAGGCCCAGCTCTGCACAGCCTAGCCAGCTGCAGGCTCTTTGAGGGTTCAAGGCTACTTGGGATTCAAGGGTTTCAGCTCTTCTTAGCACTCCCATTTTACTAGGAACTGATTCTCCATCACCTTTTCTGATATTTTACTGCTTGTAATGCACAGCCCTCCCTGCTCACCATGCCCCGGGGAGGCTGGAGCTGCAGCTCTTCCATTCCCTGCCCCCCAGGGCTATGGGGATCCCCCAAAAAGGGATGTGACAGGGCAGGGGAGGGGGCCCTGCACCTCACCCTCTTACCCAATGGCGATCACGTCCACATCATTTGTCTCGCCCGTGTTGAGGTGCAGCAGGGATGTCACGTCATTCGGGGGCATGGCTGTGCCCACATTCCAGGTGACCACTGTGATGCTTGGGAGGACAAAGGGAAGAACAGGCTAACACTGGGGCTCAGAGGTGTTCCCTGTCCTCCCCCGCTCAGTCCCCAGCTCCACCAAGGAAGCTCTCTGCCTGCAACAGAAGTGGCCACAGCTGAAGCTTAGCCAGAGCATGTACACCACCAGGTCCTTAACCTTTGTTTGAGGGAGACAGGTCCTCGCCTCTAAATTCCCCCACGGTCTGCACCTCGGTGTATGGCAAGCCCATCTGTAACCCAAGCCCCGGTGAAATTCTACAAACCAGCACAAAGAGCCCTCGTTTTCATCACCACTGACTTAACACAGGCAGGCTGGCTGGCACAGCAGGCAGCCTGCGAGACAGGGTGTCCCTGGAAAACTGTCTCCCCTCCCTTTCCCAGGAATCACGCATCCCTCAGGCTCCTGGGGAAAAGGACCCGGATCTCAGGCCCCAGACTCTGCCCCAGAGCACAGCCAGCCCCAAAGGCCAGGGCATTACATGTGAGAGCAGCGCTGCAAGCCCCGCAGCAGTGTCCTTCACCAGCGCAAAGCCACCATCAGTCACAACACATTAATGCTGTTACGCAGCATGCACCAGCAGCCCGCGGGCTCTTTCGGCAGCACTAGGACAAGTCGCAGTCACAGGGGGCACGCTTCAACAGCGAGGGAGGGTAGTGCCACATCATTTCCAGAGCTCGGGGACAGCGGGGGCAGATGGCACCCGCTCCACAGCCTGCACCTCTGATATGCCACCCCACGCAGCACCCGCTCCCCTGACCGCTGCCTGCGCAGACAGTGGGCGCTGGGCATCCTTCCCCCCTGCAGCAAGCCCTGCCTGGCCATAGCCCCTCACCCCAAACCTCCTCCAACCGAACACCATCCACGGCAGGAAGGAAGGGGCAATTCCAGCCGGCAAGAGGCTTTGCTCGCTGCTTCTCAGCGAGGGCAGCTTCGGCCCGGCACCGCTCCCCCCCCGACCCCCCCCCCCAGCAACACCCGCTCACCGGAACGAGCCGTTCTCCGGGACCCTTCCCGAGCAGCCGAGGAGCGCGTCGCAGGAGTCGCCGGAGCCCGGCAGGCCGAGGGACCTCCCGAAGAGGGAGAGCTCGTCCGGCTCCGGTTTGGGGAGGGCTGCGGGCTTGGACAGGCCCACCCGCCCGCCGGCGATGAACTCGCTGGAGACGGCTTTGGGCAGGCCGGCGGCCCTGGGCGAGGAGCCCGCCCAGGCCGAGATGTGGTCGCTGGACTCCGCCTTGGGGAGCATCTCCCTCCGCTCGGCGGGCAGCGGCTGCCCGGGGGCGGCGTGCTCGAGGGGACCGAGCTCGGGGAAG